CCAGGAGGTTTACTTACCTCCGCTGCGATCCTCTTCGGGAGGACTGCCTGACAGCCCAGGCTGCCCTCCCCCGGCAAATCCCCCGGCAAATCAGGCCCCCGGGGCCATGTGATCGCTCTCAAAGAGTGGTCACATGGCCCCCTATAGCTGGCTGTGTATCTGCCGTATAATTACAATAACAAATAAATAAAATAATAAAATATATAAATAAAATATTTAAATAAAAATTTAAATAAATTATATATACATATGTAATTTCATTCTAACTGTATTTTGTTATTAATATATATATATATATATATATATATATGTAACAAAATACACTTAGAATTACATTCTATATCTATCTATCTATATATAAAATACAAATAACTGCAAATATATATATATATATATATATATATATATATATATATATATATATATATATACAGATAAATATATATAATTACATAAATAACTACATAAGTGTACACGTAGACTTTAAATACATATATATGTATATATATTAAAATTATACGTGTATAATTAAGTAATATTTTAACATATTTATGTGATTTAATTAATTAAAAATTTGATTGACATGCCTGACAACCAAGGCAGAAAGTGCAGAGAATTTGAATTGCAAGCACTATATTTAACCCTGTAACTTTCCAAGACACCATAAAACCTGTACATGGGGGGTACTGTTTTTCTCGGGAGACTTCGCTAAACACAAATCTTAGTGTTTCAAAATGGTAACTTGTATTACAACAATGATATTTTTAGTAAAATTAAGTTTTTTGCATTTTTCACACACGAACGGCACTTTTACTGACGACATTGTTGTAATATGTTTTATTGTTTTAAAACACTTATTTTTGTGTTCAGTGAAGTTTCCCAAGTATAACAGTATCCCCCATGTACAGTTTTTATGGTGTTTTGAAATGTTAGAGAGTTAAATATAAGGCTTGCATTTCATTTTTTTTTTACATTGAAATTTGCCAGATTAGTTATGTTGCCTTTGAGACCGTATCGAAGCCCAGGAATAAGAATTACCCCATGATGACATACCATTTGCAAAAGTAGACAACCCAAGGTATTGCAGATGGGATATGTCTAGTGATTTTTAGTAGCCACTTAGTCACAAAAACAAATATGAATGCTAACTTTGGCCAGTGTTTGTGACTAAGTGGCTACTACAAAAGACTGGACATACCCCACTTGCAATACCTTAAGTAGTCTGCTTTTGCAAATGGTATGCCATCATGGGGGTAAATCTCATTCCTGGGCTACCACATGGTCTCAAAGGTAACGTTACTAATCTGGTAAATTTCAATGTGAAAAAACTGAAAAATGGAATGTGCTCTATTTGACCCTGTAACTTTCCAAAACACCATAAAAACCGTTAATGGGGGCTACTGTTGTACTCGTGAGACTTTGCTGAATCCAAATATGTGCTTTTTTTGTCAGTAAACGCTAACAGTATTATGACATTTACAGCTAAAATGAGAGGCAAAACTCCAATTTAAAAAAAAAAATGTTTACATTTCTCACAGTTTTTTAAAAAATTTTCATACTAAATTATGTTTCATATATAAATATTTGATATGATATGAAGGCCATGTTTCTCCTGAACAAACTGATATATAATAAGTGTGGTGCACTTAATATGAAAGAGGTGAATTACAGTTGAACAGACATATAGCGCAAATTCCAGTTTTTGTTTACATTTTGTTTTGATCAGAACGTGTACTATTGACTCCATCCTGAAGGGGTTAATTGATGGTAAAGTCTTCCAATAACAAGGTATGATTGACATGGCCTCAATAAGAATGTGGCCTACCATGATTCTATCTAATTTAGGGAGATTTTTTAATAAACCCATCTCTGGAGAGAATGTTATAATTGACGGACCTATATTTTTAATCAGTGAATGTTTTCCTTGCCAGAATGGCTGCAATTTTGCACAGTGCCACCATACATGTAAATGAGTGCCAAGGCCACCACAACCCCTCCAACACCTATCTGAATATACTGTGTTTGTCTTATAAAGTCTTGAAGGGGTCAGGTGCCACCTTTATAAAATTTGTAGTGATGTTCTATATGGGTGGAACACTGTGTGATCCCTTTGAGAGATGATGTGAATGCAAGCCTTTCCTCTAGGTTCCATTGCAGACCCATTTTTTCCCCAGGCTAGAATATAATCTGGTTTTGGATCTTGAACTGAAAAAATAAGAATAACATAGGGAGATCATATAATTTTGATTTGGGTAAAAGAAATACATTTTTTCAAGGTTTGAAATGTTTAATTTTTCAAATTTGTAGTCAGGATTGGGGATTTTATATTGCTCTTGTAGGATCTCAGTAAGTGCGGAGTACCGGGGGGCCCAACTATCGTCCAAATCATATTTAATTTTAAATTTTTCAAATGACATTAGCAAATCATTGTTGAAAAAGCTATCAACATTGTTTATGAATTTGGAGTGCCAATCAGTCAAATCTATTTGTGGATAATAATGATTTAGGATAGAAAACGGCATAGCTCTTGACCTAGACAAGTTGGGTTTTGAAGTTTTAAACAACATTTCCCGAACTTTAATGAGATTGCCGTTGATGGAAATATTGTAGATAATTTAAGACTTTTAGAAATAGGGAGCCAAATTAATTATTTAATAAAGTATGGGTGTAATGTTTCTGTTTTCATCTCTAGCCACCATGGTTTAAGTGAATCTAAATTAAATTTAAAAGCAGCTGCTGCACTGGCTGCATAATAGTATTTTTTTAAATCAGACACCCCCAGGCCTTCCCAACCCTTCAAGTTCTGTAGAACCACTAACTTAACTCTGCACATTCTGTTCCTTTCAGATAAATCCAAGAAGATCCAATTGTATCTTCTTAAAAAAAGACAAGGGAACATTTAAGGGTATAGTTCTTATAAAATTTAGGACTTTAGGGAGAATATTCATTGTGATAGAAGCTATCCTCCCCAACCAGGATAACTCAAATTCAGACCATCTTACCAACTCTTTTTTAAGTTCTGGCCACGACTTGGCAAGGTTAAATAAATGCATGTTCTTGGTGAAGCTGTCAGGAAGATACATCATAAACATTTATATGAACAGAGATTTGGGTTATGAAATCCTAATTTCAAAGAAGTTGCTATGGTGCCTAGAGTTTCCCGTTAAGATAGCTGTATTATTTATGTATTTGCGTTTTTTTTTTTTTTTTTTATCAAGTACCATAGGATAAGCTTGTGGAAACTAAAAGTATCTGACCAACAATAAAACATAAGTTGGTAGACCACATCCAAATTTTGCTTAGTAGCTTTTTGATAGACATTGTGAAGATGAAGGGTTTTGGAAAATCTAGTTATGGGGCTTTATTATATTACTTGGGAAATTGAAAGAGTTCTTGCAGGTTTCTTTAAAATTATAACCTTCTGTTCCGTTTGGCTAACTCTCTCAAGTCTTCTTATTCTGTCTAGCAATGCTGACATCTGCAGTGACAACTTGCCTTTTCTTGAGCCTCAAAACCCATTTCAGTTCACAATTACTTCAGTCCTCTGCCTGTCGTAACAGTTCCCTCTTATTATTTTCTTTTTCCCTTCATTTTTTGCTTATTTTCAATTATTGTGACCATGGATGCAAAAAAGCATGTCTGCACCCCGTAGCTGCTGAAAAAAGTAGCTGATTTGTGCAACTTCATAATTCAAATGTCTTCCTTGCTCTCATCACCATTTTTGTTTGCATCTGTTTATTTGTTCAAGGTTTTGTCCAGGTAATCACATCATTTGATGCCTTAGTGGTAAAACAGTATTCTGTTCTATCTTGGGATTTGCAGTGTGATTCACATTAATTGGATCATTATTTGCTTCTAATTTTAACATGCCCTTTTTCATCCCCCTTCTTAGTCTTTATAATATGATATTTTTTGCACCTATTCTTATCAGATGAACAATCTCTGTCTATGTACAATGCTTCAAACTTTATATTCCGCTGATGCAGTCTTTTTGTAGTAAACAAGGAAAAACTTTTTTTTTCTAATATAATTTTTTTCATGTAGGTAGTACAGAATGCATACTTCATTTGCCATAAGTCACAATGCAATTTTTCTTTTTTTTTTAATAGCTTTATTTTAATTAGTGAATTTTAGTGGTCATAAAAACGCACAGATTGATAGCATTTAATAAAGAACGCCTTCTAAATCTACGCAGAGATACTGTGCAAATGCTGTCTGGAACATTTTTCTTTTTCTCCTGGCAAACTTTACTTTCAGCTGTTTTGAACATCTTATAAGATCATATACTAATAAAAAACTGGTTTCAAAAATATTGTACTTACAACGATTTTACTTTATTTTTAATTGAATGTCAAAATTTCTTTCAGGTAGTCAAAGCCTTCACACAATAAATGTCAGAGTTCTTGGTGAGATACCATTTTTGCTTTCCAAGCACTTTTCTCTTCCTGTCTTCAACTTGTAATATATAATAGGACAGTTTTATGCCATCGTTTTTAATTTCTTTACACTATTTGAACAACTTGATATGTTTTTTTTTGTTTGTTTTTTTACTTTTGCATGGTTAATATATCATAATAATTTATGCAAAGGAAATATATCCTTAGCCAACTCAAACCCAAATTAAGGACAATGACATGGAATATGTGTGCAATGATTTTTAATTACAAATCCAACTAAGGATATCATTACAATATATCTATAATATCTGATAACAAGATTTTATATATATATATATATATATATACACATATACACACATAATACCAGTAGAGAGCACTTAGGAGTCTTTCAAGGTAAATTTCATCTGTTGCTTTATTGAGCAATTACAAATTCACACAGCGTTCCAGTCGACATTTCAGTCTGTAAAATACTTTTTTCAAGACCCAATTAGCCATTTTCCCTCATGGGACTTGTTAGTGGTACAAGGTCTCAGGTGTAAATATGTTAAATCTGATGTTATCGCTCTCACACTCTCTCATACTGGTCACTGGAAGTTCAATATGGCACCTCATGACAAAGATCTCTCTGAGGATGTGAAAAAAAGAATTGCTGCTCTACATAAAGATGGCCTAGGTTATAAGAATATTGTCAAGACCCTGAAACTGAGCTGCAGCACGGTGGGCAAGACCATACGGCGGTTTCACAGGACAGGTTCCACTCAGAACAGGCCTCGCCATTGTCGACCAAAGAAGGTGAGTGCACATGCTCAAAGTCATATTCAGAGGTTGTCTTTGGGAAATAGACATTTGAGTGCTGCCAACATTGCTGCGGGGATTGAAGGTGTGGGGGGGTCAGCCTTTCAGTGCTCAGACCATATGCCGCACACTGCATCAAATTGGTCTGCATGGCTGCCGTCCCAGAAGGAAGCCTCTTCTAAAGATGATGCACAAGAAAGCCCGCAGACAGTTTGCTGAGGACAAGCATACTAAGGACATGGATTACTGGAACCATGTCCTGTGTTCTGATGAGACCAAGATAAACTTATTTGGTTCAGATGGTGTCAAGTGTGTGTGGCAGCAACCAGGTGAGGAGTGCAAAGACAAGTGTGTCTTTCCTACAGTCAAGCATGGTGGTGGGAGTGTCATGGTCTGGGCCTGCATGAGTGGTAGTCACTGGGGAGCTACAGTTCATTGAGGAAACCATGAATGCCAACATGTACTGTGACATACTGAAGCAGAGCATGATCCTCTCCCTTTGGAGACTGGGCTGCAGGGCAGTATTCAAACATGATAACGACCCTAAACACACCACCAAGATGCCCACTGCCATGCTAAAGAAGCTGAAGGTAAAGGTGATGGACTGACCAAGCATGTCTCCAGACCTAAACCCTATTGAGCATCTGTGGGGCATCCTCAAACAGAAGGTGGGGGATCGCAGGGTCTCTATCATCCATCACTTGAGGGTTAAGGCAGTGCTGGAAAATAATGGTGGCCACACAAAATATTGACACTTTGGGCCCAATTTGGACATTTCCACTTAGGGTTGTACTCACTTTTGTTGCCAACAGTTTGGAGATTAATGGTTGGGGGTTGAGTTATTTTAAGTGTTATACAAGCTGTACAGTTATTTTAAGAGTTAAATAGGCTGTACACATACTACTTTGCATTGTAGCAGAGTGTTATTTTTTCAATGTTGTAACATGAAAAGATATAATAAAATATTTACAAAAATGTAAGGGGTGTACTTTGTGAGTTACTGTGTATGTATGTATATATATATATATATATATATATATATATATATATACACACAATTTATACAATATACAAACTCCAGAACACTCACTCATCCACTAAATAGAAATGTTAAAGCTAATTTTTAGGTGTATTTTTAAAAACACCTAATCTAGTAAAAAAATAATAGGGGTTTAGTTACAGTACATGATCATACATTGCACAATCCTGCCACAAAGTCAGTGTACCCTAAGCATGGCAAACTTGCAGCTCACCGGTCTGCAAAAATATTAATTGTGGGTTGCATGCGGCCCGTGGGCCGCGAGTTTGACATGCTTGCTGCACCCCATCTTTGGCAGGTCCTACTTTGACAGCTTTATATCTACTTTACTTTATGTCTGCTCTTATGAGATTAGCCCACTTCCTTGGGAAAAAAATAAATTCCACCTGGGGCTCTGTGCAGTACAAGGCGAAATAGGACCCTGGAATGAGGCACCTGTGACAGGGAGAGGTGCAAAACCAAGGAGTTGGCCTGACTCCCAAATATATATATGAAACCAGGGGGTTCCACTCATCTGAACATGAAAAAATAGGGTGCTGCTGGGGCCAATTTATACAATACAAAAGAAAAAAAATGTCCCCAAGTATGTGTATTAATCTCACAAGAGCAGATGGGGTACAATGACGTTGTGGCAGGCTTATGCAATGTATGATCATATACTGTAGCTAAACCCCCATTATTTTTGCCTAGATTAGGTGTTTTAAAATTTATTAGAACTGACTCCTAAAGTTGACCTTTTATTAATTAAAAGTTTAAGAAATAAATGTATGAGTATCTTGTTTATTTATCATGCTTGCTTACGTTCTCTTAAACATAAAATACGTTATTTTTATCCTCTTGATATTACATCAAATACTTTATTAAGCATCTACATCTTACGTACGTTATTTACCAATGCTCTCGTATTATTACCTGTTCCAAACACTAGGTATTAGTCAATGCGTATAAATTCCTCGCTGTCTCATTTGACTGCCATCAGTTTACTATATCACTTAGTGATGCATACTTCTCGGATACCCAGGGTACGTATAATTGTGTGTTTTCTTGCATTTTGCCTGGTCACTACTATTTTCTACAGCAATATTCCCCTTGAATTATATGTTCTGCAAACTCACTACTACATACAGCATGATTATCTTTAGCTACATCAATTCTAACTATGCTGATTTTTCGTACCACTGGCTGTTCACTGTCCCCACACCCTTCCCCGATTGATAATAATTACCAGTGTAACTAGAAACCTTGTGTATAATTTTCTAGCACGCTCAGGCACAATCCTTACAGTAATGTCTTATCTCCACTATACATGTATATTTATGAACACACATGAGTTAGCAGATGTTCCCTTACATTCTTGTCCATACTCAATTTTAGGTCTTTGTTACTGTTGCAACCCTCCCCCAAACAAATTCCTTGGATTTCTTACTCCACTCACATTAACAGGTATACCTAGTTTTACCTCACTTCAGGGGCAGACTGACCAGCTGGGCCGAGACCGAGGGCCCGAGGCAGTCCGGGGCCCAGCAACACAGATTAGATCACAGATCTCCTCAGCCAGAAAAACATGATTTCTCCCATATCACTCTGTAGGTAATCCCCCTCCTCCTCACTCACTCACCCCCTCACCTGTTTCTCTTTGCTCAGCGATAATTCAGTTCTTGCTGCCAGTTCTCCAGCCCCTGTATGGTGCTGTATGTGAGGACCAAGAGGAGGGGCTGGGAAGTGACATCACTTCCTGCCCTCGTCTGAAGAGCACTCGGAAGATAAGGAGCTGCTGCAACCTGTCAGATAGCACAGGTAAGCTCCTTATAGATTGTTTTTTGTACAACCTCTTTGCACTCACCTCAGCACCCCCTGTCCCCCTGCATACACCACAGTTCCTTCTGTACCCACCTCAGCCCCCCTCTGTACCCACCTCAGCCCCTCTGCACCCACCACAACTCCTCCTACACACAACACATCCCCCCTGCACCCACCTCAGCCCCCCCTGCACCCACCTTAGCCCCCGGTCTCCCTGCACCAACCTCAGCCGCCCTGCAACCAGCAGCTGCCGCTCTCCCTGCACTCACTTCAGTCACCCCTGTACCCACCTCAGTTCCCCTGCACTCACTTCAGCCACCATTCCTCTCAACACCCACCCCTATCCCTGTACCCACCTTAGCCTCTATTCTCCCACTACAGCTCTTCTGCCACCTCCAACTACCATAGCCCCTATGCCTTTCAGTACCCACCACGGCCCCTATGTCTCCTCCTGCACTCAACACAGCCCCTATGTCCCCTCCTGCACTTACCACAACCTCTATGTCCCACCTCATACTCTTTCCAGCCCTGCACCCACCTCAACCCCCCATGTACCTCAGCCTTCGTGTCTCCACAGTCCCCATGTCTTCCTGTGCCCACGTCACACCCACACCCACCTTAGTCCCCGTGCCTCCCAGTGCCACACCACAGCCCCTGTGCTTCCTTGCACCTACTTCAGCATCTATCCCCCCACGCACACACTACAGCCACTATCCTACTTATACACAGTAGAGCCTCTATTATCCAAACACACACACACACACACTACAGCCCCAGTAACCACCAGATGCCTACTACAACACAACCAGCCCTCTCCACTCACATACTGCACTGCAAATAGCCCCATTCACACACACAGAAACTCACAAGGAGCCTCACTGTATAGACACAATCCCACAAGCAGCATCCCCACACATACAAAACCACAAATGCCTTCTTTTGGATCAACAGCAAAAACATGTGAGGAAGGCTGAACTTGATGGACGCAAGTCTCTTTTCAGCTATGTAACTATGTAACATGCAGCTTCCCTACATATACACATCACAAACAGCATACTCACCATTGCAAGACTCCATACAGCCTCCACACACACACAACTATTACAATCACTTATGTAGCGCCAAAATATTCTGCAGCGCTGTACAATAGGTAAAACAAAAGAAACAATTAATTCACAACACTTTAACATACAGGAACACAACATCACTAGCAGCATCCCCACACACTCACCCCACAAGTAGACTCCAAACTCATGTGGCTACTTGTATGGTTGCACATATGGGGGACGCTGCTTGTGATGTCATCAGCAAAATCAGTGGAAGTCTATAATTAGATTTGCTTTATTTCTTTATTTTAATTGCTGAGAAGGCATGCCAGCAAGGGTTATTCCATCTAAAAACAGTGTTTATTAAAACACTGTTTTTGGTTGGATTAACCCCTTAAAAGTAAGTCTGGCCATTTTGGGGGGCTCTGCAGGTGTGGGAGTCAGGGCTGTGTGGCTCTCACACAGCAATTCTGTGTGCAGGGCAGCATACACATATCTGTGTGAAAGCAGCAGAAAGAAGTGAGAGAATAGTAGTAGGGGGCTAAAAAAACTTGTAGCAGGAGGGGGGACCTTGATCACCCACTGCCCGAGGGACCTGTAAGTGGTCAATCCGTCCTGCCTCACTTTATGCCGTGCTCAAGAGTTTAACCTTAATTTATTCTCAGAAAGCCACTACTTGAACTCCGGCACATCTCCATTATTGCATACTAATTATCCTCCCATCCCATTATAGGCTAGTTTTGTTAACTGGCTAATCTGATGTTTCAATGCCCGAGACCCCCTACTCAACTGCAAACTCACCATCCGTGAATTTATCTTTGTCTTTGGTCCTTAAGGTGACGTAATCTGCTCCACTTCACCTCACCATAGGGAAGAGCTAGATTTATACATGCATAAGTTGCTGGACCTGGGGCACAAGTATGGTGGTTTTTCGTTCTTCGACTATCACAAGTCATTTTCTGCAAAAGCAGCGGCATCCCTTACACAATTTAATACCCACACTGACTGAAGTAGGCTTAACACAGAATTGTTTTGTCATCACTTCGTCAGTCAAAAACAACATTCATGTGCCATATGTGCCTCTATCTCACATTCCACCAACTTATGATCAGTGGATCTGAGTCTCCCTACCACTAGTTCTGCTTCCTTCGGTTCTTCCACTGCAGAACACAAAGGCCTTAAAGACAAATTGGGTAGACCCATAGTGTACCTGGGAAAGCTCAAATCTACAACAATTTTAATTTGGGCATGTAACGGAACTCCCTGTACTCCGACCAAGTACCTTCCGTTGATGGACGCTTCCTAGCTTGCGCCGAGGACCACAACCGTCGCAGACTCCACAACCACCGTAGCTTAACTGGAGTCTCACTGTCTTCTGTCCACCCTGGATCAGCTCCTGTCCTCCAGGACCATGTGGGGAAAACCGCTCCTCCAAGAGAGCGTATCAGGAACAAGCTCTTAAAAGAGCTAAGTGATTAGGGCTCAAGGGAGTATGCAGAGCATAGCAATCCCCAGTGTGATATAGCAGTTCCCTCTAATCACGAGACAAGACTACATGTTGAGGGTCAAGAAGATCTGTATTACTTGGCACCAAAGGACCTTCTTTTATGCAGGTTTTCCACACATAGTACCACCCACAGGGTTTTTTTGAACAACCAATAAACACATTACAACACATACAATGTAAGTACATCAGCCAATCAGACACAATGGGACAATAGAAACACACCCATCATATTCCTCCCCTCTGCTTAGGAGATAATTGAGTCAATTACTGTATCTACTCAATTATCTCCAAGCTGAAAAGTTACACTTTTTATACATTTTTATAACTTTGTGAATTTACATCATACATATATTATTTTAACCAGTATAACTTGGGGACAAACACATACAAAATTCACTTGAATAGGTTCAGGGGTTTAAAAGTTAGGTCGAAGTCCTTTGTTTTCACTTGCAAGCATGGCTTTTCCTTCCTAAACCAGTTCCCACTGGTCTGGCAGTGTCCCTGGGACAACGCCCTGCTGGAGAACAATGGAGCTGGGCGAGGGGAGGAGCCACACCTTCCCAGGAATTCAATGGGGGAAGAAAAAGTGTCCAAAAAGTTTCAATATGTCCATACACTGTTTTTAAAGGGCCAGCACCGTACAATAAAAGTCCATAAGCCCAAATGCTGGTTTAAACGGGTACAATCTCCCAGGGGCCAGAGTCTCAGGGCAGGAGGCTGGCAAACAATCCTCTCCAGGACCAAGTGGCGAAGTGCACCTCGTTACAGGGCAGTTGCGAATTTAGCTTGTGCAGATTGCTGCATGTCTGCTCCATTTGTTACAGGGCACACACAAAAACTATGTGTCTTAGGGGGGCGGGGCCTGACTGTGATGGAGGAGAGATGTGTTTTACAGGAGCTCCTCTCCTAGGCAAGCTTGAACCGAAGTTATCACCTACATTCTGTGAATTAAGTTTATTATACAACTCCTGACCCTTCTGAGACCCACTGTAGGGGGTGATAATATGCAAGGAGCTCATCTGCTAAGCTGCTCAAATCATGCGGCCTGCGGTGCACCGGACGGGGGGAGGCGGCCGATCCACCGGCCCGGCGCAGTTCGAAGGCACACAAAATAGCATGAGAACCCTGTTTCCCCCCCCCCCTCGGACCGATGGGGGTTATCCCGGTCCACCCCGGGAGGCTACGCAGTCATGGCGGGAGCTAGAGACAAGGCCACAGGGGCTACTACAACCTGCAACAACACAGCCAAAATGGCGGATGCAGAGCGGGCCCCCGATAAGATGAAGGACAACCCTGACATCTTGGCCAGGCTGGACAGGATATTCAACTATTTCTGGCACAAGCTGGTGAGTAAGCAGCAACAACCTGTCTGGAGCTAGTCTGGTGACCGCTCAGTGCACAAGCTGACCCTGGTCATGAAGCAGAAGACCGCAGCGATGACACCCCATCAAGCCCTAACATGGCGGCGGGGAACGTGCCTTGCCGAGAGGCTCAACTACCCATCTGGGTAGTGTACCAAAGGGTAAAAGCTTACCTCTGAGTCATCCTCCAAAATCAACAATGGAACCAGAGGGAGAGGCTTCATCCTGGTGGCATAACAAACATGATGCCTCCCACAAGCACAAGAAATCACAGCAGCATGCACCCACGGTGAGGGCTCTAATATGGATGGCGCGCAAGCAGCAGACCCCACTGAAACCATCAGCAGCACGGAGGTGGGAACCGCCAAAGAGCAGACCTCAGCCCTCCATTAAACCTAGCAAGCCAGGGAGAGCCTTGTTCCTGGCCACCGAAAAGCACTGCCTCTTACCTGGGACTCAAAACCCGGCACGCTCCAGTTGAGATGGAGACTCTGCTCGGATGAAACAAGGCATAGGGTGAACGGGGACTGTGGGGTGGTGGCTGCATGGGGTCCTGTTAGGCTTCATTAGCACAATATGGACACACACTCTTGTCTTACTCTAGACCTGAAATACACTCTACTCCTCTGAAAATAGCTCTCGAGTTAGGGAGTTTATGATTGTCTTTGATGCATTTGTTTTACTAATGGTTACACAATGTTTCACCATACAGCATCCAGGGGCATTAACTACTCACAGTAAGCATGCATAAAGTTAATGTCAGCATACACTACTCTTAAACACGCTTAAAGCCAAGCCTTTCTCTGACACTACTTGTATTAACCTGTGAATTGCATTTTAATATGCTTAATTACCCTAGCATGTTATATTATATAAGCAATGTTTATCATCCTGTTATTTTCATGATCATACAAAAAATGTGCTGATCAAACTGCCACACTTAGAAATGTCTTGAAAACACATGTAGATGTTGTTATAGCTCTGCACGCATGTTGTAATCATTTGCACAAGAAAAAAACAAACAAATAAAAAAAAAAAGAAACCATGTGTCTTAACCCTTCTGTACCCGAAACAATGACTAACCAAAGTTTGCATTGACAACCTGGCATATTACCTCGAGGCAAACCCTTCCCAACACTTAGTTTACTTCCTCGTAAAAGGTTTCACTGACAGTTTTCACACTGGCCTTATCACACTCCCCACTGGTATTCACAAGTGCTCAAACTTATAGTTTGCCGTACTTGACCCCATCAGCACAGACGCATTACTCATGAAAGTGTTGAACAGTGGGTTCATCATAGGCCTTTTTCACAACCGCTCTTTTCATGCTGGCGTACCAATCCCATAGGTATGGCCACGGGAAAGTTAAATAATAAAAAGTGGCAAATTTTAGATTTATCGGCTCCTCATTCATTGTCTACACTGAGCATCAACTCATTAATTCCACCAGAGGAATTTTCCTTGCAACATGCCTTGAATGATGCCATTCATGCCATACTGAACGCAGGTGTGGAATCCTGGTTGGGAAAAACTGACATTTCCAATGCCTTCAAACTTTTACCTATACATCCATCCTTGTGGCATGTGCATGGCATATTGTGGAGGAACAGGTATTACTTTGTCACATGTTTGACTTTTGGGGCTAAGAGTAGTCCAAAATTATTTGACGTGTTTGCCGACACATTATGTTGGCTACTCCTTAACATTTGTGAATGTCCATCAGTCAAACATTATCTTGACGACTTTCTCGAAATAGAAAAACCTCAGTCCACACCTATCAGCATTCACAATACAATGGCTCTATTTTCAGCTACAGGGGTTCCGTTTTCTGAGGACAAAACAGTAGGCCCTACTACAAACCTAACTTTCCTAGGTATTCAAATAGACACAATCTTGTTACAAGCTAGTTTACCTATGAAGAAGGTACAGCATATCAAAGAGAATTTTTTCTAGCTAAGAGCATGTGTACTAAAGGAGAATTACAATCCTTACTGGGCGTTCTGGGCTTTGCAATGAGAATTATTCCTCAGGGCCGTGCATTTATTTCAAGACTGCTGTACCTTCTTCCTCTTCTCCATACAGACAAGTACCGTGTCCCTAGATACACATGCCAAGGTAGATCTGCACATGTGGCTCAGATTTCTGTCCCAGTGGAATGGGAAGGCTCTGTTTATTCCCCCATCTCTGAATCTTCCCCAGTAATATGGACCGATGCTGCAGCCCATACAGGGTTTGCAACTATCATTGTTGACTCTGAGATTTTGGGCCAATTGAGACCCTTGGGCTACTCGCTTTCCACACTACATCAGCATTATTTAAAATCTACCCCATCGTGGCCACCTCTAAAGCCTGGGGGTATTTATGGAAGGGGAAAGCAGTAACATGCTTCTACGACAGCAAAGCGGCTTGCAACATTATTAATAAGGACAGATCCTCATTCCTCACCATCATGAGATTAATAAGACAACTGACATGGTTAGCAGCTATATTGCAATTTCACATCACTTGCATACACATTCCAGGTTGCATCAATACAGCCGCTGATGCATTGTCTCGTTCTAATTTTCAGGATTTCTTCAAAGCCCACCCAACAGCCAACATAAGTCTGATCAGCACTCCCTCATACTAGGGATGTGCATGGGCAAAAAAAAAATCAGTTCAGCTCGGCACCTCCAAAATTTGGGACTTCGGCAATTTGGCACATTGGCAATTCGGCACTTTGGTTTAGTTCGGCACTTCCAAAATCCAGGACTTCGGCAAATCGGGAATTAACCTATTCACCAATTCGGGACTTTGGGACTTTGAGAATTCGGGAATTCAGGACTTCAGCAATTCCCTAAACCTAACCCTAACCCTACCCCAAACCCTACCCCTAAGCCTACCATACCACTAACCATACCCCAAAACCCTAACTCTAACCCTACCTCTAATTCTGCTCCTAACCCTACCCCTAACCCTATCCCAACCCCTAGCCTTACCCTACCCCTAACCTTACCCTACCCCTAACCTCACCCTACCCTTAACCCCACCCTTAGCCCTACCCCTAACCCTTCCCTTAACCCTACCCTACCCTACCCCTAACCCTAATCTTACTTCTTACCCTACCCTAACCCTTACCCTACCCCTAACCTACCCCTACCTCTACCCCTAACCACCACAACCACTTACACATCTAGGATTAGGGGTAGGGTTTGGGGTAGAGTTAGGGGTAGAGTTAGGTTTAGGGGTAGAGTTAAGGTTAGATTCCTGTCATCATTCACATAATTTTACCTCCCTCTCTTTTTTTGCGACTTTTCAGAAATCCAAAGCACTTCGGCACTTCCGAAATTCATCACTTCGGTTTGGTTTGGCACATCCGAAATTTGCCAATTCGGCACTTCGCCGATTCAGTTCGGCACTTAATCCTCGACTAAATAACCTCTTAACACACAGCATATTTCTGGCCAGATCTGCCCTCTCTACCAATACGTACCCTCTATTCTAAGTTCACTTCAGATTAGCAGATCAGCAACACACATTCACTAGACTCCATAGTGGCGTTTATCTGTTTTTGCCACCTCAACCTTAAACTATCACTAAACACCATCAAACTCGACATCACTGGTATACAACATTATATCCTTAGTGCATTCCCTAGCACTAATCCTTTTATGTCAGTCAATCCCATCAAAAACATTCTAAAAGGCATATCACGTTTGGACAAATCCACCAACACTACTAGACAACCTATTGATGGGTCTAAATTTCGCGCCCTTTCAGACAATTTAGACTCTAATACGTTTGAAACAAGCACTAATCTTATAATTAAAACTGCATCCTACCTAGCCTTCTATGGCTTCTTACGTCCATACGAATTTACTACTGATAACATCACGTCTATTCGTCAACACCTCAAAATCATGAGTCTACGTAAAAACAATGATCATTATGTACTAACTATTGATAACACCAAGACAAACCAGTTAGGCACACTTACTGAAGTATGCTACTACCCAACGGGTAATCATTGGTGTCCAGTTAAATTACAGGATACATATTGCTTAACACTTAGCTGTCTAAACCAAATACGCCGCTAACCCTTCTACATGGCAAACCTCTGACCACTACTAAATTCATATTACACATTAGAACACTTTTCATTAGACTTGGTCATGACCCTTTGGCTTTTTCTGGTCACTGCTTCAGAATTGGAGCCGCTTCCACGGCATCAAGTCACAATGTACTTGCTCAAATTAATAAAAAATTAGGGTGCTGGAAGTCAGCAGCATATTCCAGATATATACCACAGCCAGAACAGGAATTGAGACTAGCATTGAAAGATTTAGCATTGTAACGTTTATGTAATAAAGATTATATTTGTATACATCAACTTTTTGTCCTCTTTTATCACAGGCCTACACCATACGTTGGTTCCAGCACACAACAGCTTACTTGTGCTTACTTCTACTTACACTATTACAGCTTATGTCCCCAACTACAAATATAAAGGTGTACCCTGTAATTGTGGGAGGGGTTACCCAGCTAAAAATACTCAGGACTGTCACGACTGGGTTTATCCCTTCCACCTTTCCCTTTAATTACAATTTTAATGGGTGGGCCCACTTTTATTATAGGCCTACCCAATACGTCGTTTCCGGCACACCACAACCAACTTGTGCTAACTTCTACTTGCACTATTACGGCTTATGTCCCCGACTACAAGTCTACATATACATATATATATATATATATATATATATATATATATATATATATATATCCCAAATCACTTGGCACTCACCCTTTATGAAAAATATAAAATATTTAAATTGATACTGCCTTGGTGCTAAAAACCTGTGTTGAATATATAAAGGCTAATGAAGGGGTGCACTCAGTGGTCTAACAAAAAGAAAAAAGTGTCTAATAAATCATCAAAAAATTACATAAGTGTCTAATCCATGTCTCGTCCCATTCTGGCCTTTCTCAAAATCCTGAGAAAGGCCTGA